TAATACACACACACACACACAATTTAATTTTTTAGTTAAAGTTTATATTATTTTAAGTAATGAAAGACTTTATGGTTTTAGTTAACTGTAATATCCCCGGTTGACACTGTACAAACTCCACCTGTTTGTTATTTTTGTGTTATTTCTGTGCAGTCTGCCAAGATCTTCAACTACGCCAAATGGAAAAGAACGTGCAACGGCATCTTCGTGGTATTTGCTGCTGTCTTCATAGGCACGCGACTCATAATCTTTCCATTTTGGTGAGAATTGCATGTATGACCATTATTTCCAAGCTCTGATAAAGAGTCTCAGGTGTATTTTACATAGCATGCATGCATTATTTGTTTCTTTCAACTGATATTAAAAACTGTCTCTGTTGTCTCGTATACCTTTATTCCAGGATCATTCACTGCACGTGGGTTTATCCACCAGACTATTACCCACCATTCTTTGGATATTACTTTTTTAACTTAATGCTCGTCATCCTGTTGATGCTGCACATATTCTGGGCGTATCTGATTCTGCGTATGGTGAAGATGTTCGTTTTCGGAAGTGTAAGTTGTTCTACATTTATATTTGGGAATGTGTTTATTTTTCAAAAATTGTCTTGTTTGTATTGTCTCACATTACAGTGGGTTAGCAAATAATTTGGGGTAGTCATTTTTGAGATTTCTCACTGTACATTTGTAAACCCTGGGGTTTCTTTTTGCTAATTTGTTTATTAGCATCAATTGGACAAATAGGCTACTGTATGTGACTTGTGTTTATATTTGCTTGTGCATCTGTGTAAATGCTGTGATCAATCTGCTCTTCTCAAGTCTGAAACTTGAAGGCAAACTAATTTAAATTAAACGCAGATTAACTGTTCAACATGTTCTGACACTAAACTGAACGTTTTTGTGACTGTGCAAAGCTCATGAATATTTAATTAGGCAAGCAATTAATCAGTTTATGATTGGTTGTCTGTTTCTAAACGACTCACTGTTACATTCTTTTTATTTTTATACCTTTGGCACCGCAGTTCGTTGGAGCAGAGCTTTATAACCCAGGGTTTAAAGCATTGCTAACCCCTTTTTATAAGTTATAAGTGTGAAACGCTGCTTTACTCAGGGTTAAAAAGACATTAACCCAGGGTTAAGCATTGTGTGAGAAACCCTGAATTCATTATAAAACCATTTATAAGATGGTGGCAGGTGCAGCGGATTTGAAAGACTCAAAAATAAGCATAAAATGCGGTGCATCTATGCAGCTCGTAGGTCATATGTTATTAAAAAATACCATTAACACTGTTACCTTACCACCCTCGGGCTAGTTATCAATCATCTCAACTGACATCCCAGCTAACAAAAAAAGGTCCCCAGGACGTCCCCTAAATGGCCTCTGCGAACGTCTCCCGGACGTCAGCGTGTAGGGTCCCCTTTTACGTCGAGCGGACGTTCGAAACGTCCGGGGGACGTCCCCTGTTTGCTGGGATGGTATGACTAACAAGTCATACAACTCTGGCATATGTGGAGTCGGAAAGTTCTGGATGCTCTGAACTATTTTATTTTATGAGTTCCTGACTAAAGCTGTTTAAAGGAAACATTGTCTATGTGTTTACGCTGTCTTGTGAGCTGGCAGAGTTTCAGTTATGGCACAGTTTTCATTTATTGTCACTCTTAAATGTCCTATTGTGAGTATTATTGCATCAGCACTGGCTTTACTGGTTTAGTTAACCATCTCATAATACTGGTTATACCAGTGTGGGTTGGTAAACATGAACACATATGGTGTGTGTGTTTTTAAATGCTGGGTGAATGATAACACAGTCCTGCGTCTTGAACAAAAACTCTGCTGATTTGCATAAAAGGCCTAATATTCCCTGATATTACCATAATACAAGACTTCTTCACCTTACAAATGGCTGTGTACGTGGCATAATATTACTTAAGATATGAGTTCTGACAATGACTGACGCTTATTGTGGAAACTCGTATTGTCTCCTGCTAGATGACCACATTGGCCATTTGAAACAATGAATGAATTTATGAGTGACATTTTCTTCTCAGAGGAAGACATTTCTGCATTTTGGTGTCATGGCTTCAACATGAAACATTAATGCAGTGATTCCTGCATCACTATTCAGGAGCATCATTATGAAAATATGTAATATAAAATATATTTTGATGAAAAAATAATTTTAAGCTCAGTTGAATGATATTTCAAAATAGATACAGTAATATATAAATGTTTGGTGTCAGTGTTTTTGAAAGAAGTCTCTTCTGCTCACCAAGGCTGCATTTATTTGATCAGAAATACAGTGAAAAATTTTGAAATATTATTGCAATTTTAAACGATTGTTTTCCATTTGTATATATTTTAAAATGTAATTTATTCCTGTGATCAAAGCTGAATTTTCAGCATCATTACTCCAGTCTTCAGTGTCACATGATCCGTCAGAAATCATTCTAATATGCTGATTTGCTGCTCAAGAAACATTATTAATTTATTTGTATTTAAACATGTATTATTAGTAGTACCAATGTTGAAAACAGTTTTGCTTAATATTTTTTGTAGAAACCACTTTATTTGTATTTTTTTTAGAATTCTTTGACGAATAGAAAGTTCAAAAGAACAGCATTAATATGAAATATGATTCTTGTGTAACATTATAAATGTTTACTGTCACTTTTGATCAGTTTAATGCATCCTTGTTGAATAAAAGTGTTTATTTTTTTACAATTTTTTTAGTGTGTGAATAATATTTTTGGACAAATAGTGTTATTTTTGTTTAAGTCAGAGCTCCCCGTTGCAACAGCAAGATCCTGTAGGAAACACTGCTTTGATTCATGTGAAACACACTAAAACAAAACCCTACATGATGCATATCATGACAGTTTATGGCAGACAAAGCCATGCTGCATGAATTATACTCTAAACAGAAACGATGACACAAGCTTTGTAACGGTGACTGAGATATCCAGGTCTGTGCCATTGTTCTGTTATTTCCAGTTACACTGGCGTTCTGATTAAAATAAGCCCTGCCAGCCTGTAGTTAGTGCTCTATTGTTTTCACTCCAGCTCGGTCTATTGAAAAAGGTGAGTCATAATTTGAGCGTGATTGCTCTGGCAGCGTACATGATCTCTCACAAATGCAGAGCGGATGAGGGATGCCAGATTCAATCGCTTCTCTGCTCCACGTACCTGCAGCCTGTTGCTCAAAGGGACCTAATTAGCCATGATTTAGTGCACATCAGACTGTTCAGATTCATTTGCTATGGATGATGGATTGTGTACTTGCACGTCTGGTTTCTACAAATGGCTCGTTAGGTTAATGTTTCAAGACCGGCCGTATTTTCTGATTTCAGATGTTGTGGTTTTGATTTCCAAAGTATAGGAAGTTCAAAGATTGGCTTGCTTATTGTTTGATTTTCAAATGTTTGCTAAGCTAGGATCAATAAACCTACTGCTTATGTGTGGATCATACTTTGGGGTAGTTATTTAAGCAAACTTGTATTTGAAATTGGCATGTAAAAAACACTCAACCACTAAGCAAGTAACATAGCAACTACCTGGCGTAGTTTTGCATGGATAAACATCACTCTAGTTCTGTTTTAGTTGTTGTGCTGAATATAAATTATTATTTTTTAACTTTTCCTTGCCAGTTTATGAACTTAAAATAACTGGTTGAATATTCACATCTGTGAACGACTAATTTGGTGAGTGTTTTAGGCTATTTAATTAGCTGATATTAGTGCTGTCAAACGATTAATCGCGATTAATCGCATCCAAAATAAAAGTTTTTGTGTACATATGTTTATGTACTGTGTATATTTATTATGTATATATAAATACACACTCATACAGTATATATTTAGAAAATATTGACATGTATTTACATGTATATATTTATATAATTTATATTATATATAAATATATTTAATATAAAAATATAAAATTTTTCTGAAATATATACGTGCATGTGTATGTATTTATATATACATAATAAATATACATGTGCATGTGTGTGTATTTATATATACATAATATATGTGTGTGTACTGTGTATATTTATTATGTAAACAAAAACTTTTATTTTGGATGCGATTAATCGTTTGACAGCATTAGCTGATATACATGGAAGCTAATCTCTGCCATGGAATAAAAAAATGTAAAAAAGTAATCACGACATTTTATCTTATAATCTCACTTTTTACAATTATTTTTTATACTCAAAATTGCAACAAATAAACTCGCAATTCTGAGAAGAAAAGTCAGAACTGTGACACATAAACCCACAATTGTGAGAAAAAAATAATAAAAATGAGCAATTACCTTTTTAATTTTTTTATTCTATGGTGGATAAAAAGAGTAAAACATTCTGAGTTTATATCTCACGATTCTGAATTTTTTTTTATACCCCCAATTGAGTGTCCAAATAACAATTACCTTTTTTTTTTTTTTTTTGGAAAACAGGCTTCCATAGATATGTGTATGAGACAATGATGAAAGTATAAATTGACAAATAAAATTATATGACAAATAATTTTTGTTTCTCTAAAACAATGTTTTGCATTGGTAAACACTTGTTTTGGAAATAAAAGAGCCTGTTTTAGCTGTTGTGTTGACTATAAATGACTATGTTTATTTTTAACTCCATGCTTTTCTCTAAACCCAAAATACTTTTTTGATAGTTAACCAAAGACGAGAGAAGTGACAATGAAGAAGACGAGGAAACCAGTGTGACTGAGGACAATGACGGACATGTGAAAGTGACCAATGGCTGTGGAGCAGGAGGCGGGGCTAATCATCACTGACACCTCTTTTCTTAAACTGTGAAGGACTTTGAATTGCCCTCAGGGATGTGAGGAGCCAAAAACATACATTTGATTTATTGTCACACAGAGAATATGCCAGAAACTTGTCAAAACAAATTGCATCTTTTAATAACACTGAAAAAAAAGCTCCCCCCCCGCCACACACACTTTGCTTCACTGGAGACGACTTGCTGTGTGTCTTGGCTGCTTCAAAACCTTTTCCCCCTTTCAACTAAAACTTTTTTTCATTATGGCACAAGATCACATGGGTAATTATGAAAGAACACGGCGCAAAGAAAAATAAACTCCTTGTAAGTTTTAATAGACTCCTCAATGTTTTTGAAGCTCAAAGATCACGTCACACTGGCTGCTCTCGTCGTCTGGCATCGTTGAGTTTTACATCAACCTCTGCTGTCCAACACATCCTCTAGTGAGAACTAATTTTATGTTTCCTGCAAGTGATTTTGAAGAAGAACATCTACTTTCATGTCACTTTAACCTCTTGACAAGGTGGACAGCAGACGTTGCTTTCTTTCATTTTAACATTGTGTCTACATTGGATGCATCCAACATTGTTTCTTGAAGAAGTTCACACTGCTGTAGCGAGCTTTTTTTTGTCACTGCAGGCCATTTTCAGAAACTTTTGATGGCTGGAGGTCTCTGTACTGCTGGTACTCTAGTAGGCATTTCTATGCTTCCTCGGTATCTGCACTCACGATGGCAGTCAATGCAATCTACTCAACTCAAATCACCAGCTGTCATTGAAAATGAAGGACTTCCAGTCAGTCAATAGTTAACTTCAAAATTGTGTGCCACAAAACCAGAAGCGTTATTATTAAAATAGCTAGTTTTAAAGGTGGTAATGTGTTTTAACTTTTTAATGTTAATCTTACTTGCTCCTTCAGACCAGGGTTGGGCAGATCTCAGAATTGGCTCTCTTTCATTTCATGAGTGTGAATTCTATCTGTCTGTCTGTCTCATAGACTGTAAAAAAAGATGGACGATACGTCTCCTATTCCTTCCACTATAGAAAAGTGAAGGCAAAGCATCTCAGTATGGCCGCTGCCATCTTGAGTAAATGACGTCATTTGGAGCCAGAGTCTGCGCAGTAGTGTCATGAGGTGGAGCCGTGGTATCAAACTCCCACAGACCCAATCAACCATATCGACACGCCCCGCTTTTATAGCATCAAATTACAAGCTAAAATCAAACTTATCACAAAAACGAACAATTTAACATATATCAGCGTGATAACAACTACCTTAAATGACCAAAACATTCGGTCGTTCTATCTTTCGTTCTATCTATCTATCTATCTATCTATCTATCTATCTATCTATCTCTCTCTCTCTCTCTCTCTCGTGCCAGGCTTCTGGGTCTTCTGTATAAAATATGATGTTGCTGACCTCTCCGTTCTTATATAAATCCGAGTACAGTGTTTCTGGTCTGTCCTTGAGGAGCTTTTCTTTATGTTTTTTCTTTAAGATCTCATTTGTAGCTTTGTATGGGTAAGTTATGGGGATTGATTCAGTCATTGTTCAAATATTCTGACAGTTGCTGGCAGTTTGTTGTTGTTTTTTTGAATATGCAGATATCCACTATAGTTAGGCCTTATATTGTAGTTTAATTTGTCCAAAAAAACGTATTTTTTGTGTGCAAATCTTTCCCCAAAACGAAGGTAGTTTACTGCAGACCTTATGTAGTTTATCTGTACTCACTTTGAGTTTTCTTTCTTCTCTTTCTTCTCTTTTCTTTTGAGGCAGTTGTATGACCTTTTGGGCCACTCTCAGCTAGTCTCTCTCTCTCTCTCTGTCTCTCTCTCTCTATCTATCTCTGTCTGTCTCTCTCTCTCTGTCTATCTCTCTCTCTATCTATCTATCTATCTATCTATCTATCTATCTCTCTCTCTCTCTCTCTGTCTCTCTCGCTGTCTCTCTCTCTCTCTCTATCTATCTATCTATCTATCTATCTATCTATCTATCTCTATCTCTCTGTCTGTCTGTCTTTATCTCTCTCTGTCTCTCTCTCTCTGTCTATCTCTCTCTCTATCTATCTATCTCTCTATCTATCTATCTATCTATCTATCTATCTATCTCTCTCTCTCTCTCTCTGTCTCTCTCGCTGTCTCTCTCTCTCTCTATCTATCTATCGTTCAATTGTTCATGACAGAAGCTGAAATAGAAGTTTTGATGCGTTGCTCGTGTCCAGTGTAGACACGGTTTATAGGACATTTAAAACTACCTAAGTATAACTGAAGAATGATGTCTGTGTTCAATTTGAGATGGTTTAATATATCTCATTGACATTTTAGTCGAAATGTGTATGAGAGAATGACTATATAAGCCGAAGTAAATTGTGAATTTACTCTTTTATGCACAGAAAGTATAAAGGAAATATTGAAGGATTTGTTTTAAATGTTCAATTCTATTTTTATTGTAATAAAGTTTTTGAGCCAATACTTCAGTATACAGTATGCCAGTTTTTTTTCATGCTTATCAAGATCTTTAAATAATGTTCATCTAAATAGCTAGATATATAACTTTTCCTCCTCTGTATGTTATACATATATTTTCTACTGCCCCTCAGTTAGATATGTATTTTATTGCTCAAAACAGATTAATTATTTACATACACGTTACAATAAATTATATTATTTGCATATGTTACAATAAGCTATATTTTAGATGCTTTATTTTAAATATTTGGTAATCTCTTTTCTATAAAATGAAAGTGGGTGTTGATAATGGTGTTCAAGCTCAAAAGGCAGTTGCTTAAATCTTTCCACTTCTGTTCTAACTATTAAATCTCATTTACAAATTTTGGGCATCATGGCACTCAAGCATCTTAATGTCATAATTAATGTCACACTGAACAAGTTATTTGTTTAGTGTACTTCTTCTGTTAACTACTAGGGGGAGCAGTTGACCACACATATCAAAATGATACCTTCTAAATGTGCATAATTTTTGGTGTCACGATACTTTTAATGCTTGCTTTCATTATGGTGTTTCCAGGGATGACTGTATGGATCCGGGCTTCCTGCTGTTTTTAGACAGGTAATATTTTATTGTGCTGTAATTGATGACCACCAGAACAAAGCCTCCCCTCCTAAAGTGATGCTTGCTGAAGTATAAGCATCACCAATACTGTTGCTCATATACTTAGGTTGAGCTATTTGAACAAACCCCTAACCCTGACTATTAACATTTGGCATGTAGCTCATCCTTCACTGTTTATGCACATGAACATTATATTGTGAGGCATGCAATTAACTTTCTAAATAGTTTTTATCATGTTTTTTTTGAATGGTAAAACTCACACTCTACTCATATTAGAGGTACCTGAGGGTGGTCTCTTATGACTTGCTTTCAGCCATGGCTCATCTGTAAGGGCAGATGGGGTAGAGCCCCACCAAAATTGCAACATTCTGCAACAAATATTTCTGGATTTTCTAGACTATTTTAAGTTCTAAAGTCAGCAGGATATGTTCATATTAATGCATTAAGACAGTGCCTGAGGCCTCTCCAGCTCTACAGCACCCCTCAATTTTCCAATGTAAATCTATGGTGAGAAATGTAACTGCAGCACACTCCAATTGAGAGCCACCGGGGTAGATTTGAGAAGTATATGAAGTATAAGTCCTTTATTGTAGCCTTTATATAGTTCTGTTGTGTTTCATGTTTGCTCTGAGAATAGACACTCCTCACTGGAATTCCTCCACAACTTGTAATAATCTTAATATTAGGCAATAAATACTAATTCTAAGATAGCATTCTTTGCATGTGTTGTGTGTCCTAAAAGCCAGTCAATTAACATTAGAGCGCCACCCTCAGGCTGAATAACGCAACCTTTGCCAAAAGTGTTCATTAATTAGAATATAACGCCTACAAAATGTTTATCATAAACTAGCGACCCTACATTTACGGTCAGGAGCTGCTACTGCTTGGGCCAGTAGGCAATCATAGAACACCCTAGCAACTGCTTAGCAACATACCCAAAAACACTTGGAACACCTAGACAATCATTTAGGCACAGGCACATTTTTAGTGCATTGTTAAGGCATTTCTAGGGTGTTCTGAATGTTTTTAGTGCATTGCTGTTGTTAGTGCATTGTTCTGGGGTTTCTAGCGTGTCCTGGGTGTTTTTTTATTGCATTGCTATGGGATTTCTAGCATGTTCTAGATGTTTTTTAGTCTATTGCTATGCTTTACACGATTGTTGTTAGGGTGTTCTGAGTGATTATAAATCTCAGTGCATTAATGTTGCTAGTACAACTGCTTTTAACTTACAATCTGCAGACTTATTTTGCTGTAAATTCTGTGCTCAGATATCATCATAGCGCCACTATACCCAGCCTAGATAATTCTGCCATGGCCGTCACTCATTACGGGCCACTTGGCTGTGCCAGCGGCCCCGCTATTCACAGGAAGCAGCAGTAACTCTTCTGTGGTGCTTTGGCAAAGAGAAATGAGAAATCAAAGCACTTGAAATAGGATTAAAGCCTCTGCTGACCTACTCTAATGAACTTTATCCACTCGCAAGAGCTCCGTTCTCAGGGTCCAGACTCCTGATATATGAGTTTTCAGAAAATCCACAGAATTAATGCAATGTAGATTCTTCTTACACCAAAAAATTGTTCAGCTCTAATATGTAGAACCCATTAGCAACAACCTAGCAACTGCATAGCATAACTTCTGAAATGTATCATAGAAAACATTATGCAATGCATTTTTGTTTAATTTTTCTTATGGCACTAGGCTTAATGTCACAAATGCAAAAGCCCTTTTGTGTTATATTGCATGAGTTGCACTGACCTCACATAGTTTTGGTCTTTTAATCACTGTATATGGACTGTTTATGAAAAAAAATTGTGCCACACTACAATAGCACTGCTTTATGTGTGTGTGTTGACGACTAAATAACTAAAATTCTAAATGAACATTTTCAGCTCAATATATTATAATCATCCAGTACTTAAATCGATACTCACCCATAAAGTTATCCAGGTCTGCACATGCTCTACATTAGTAATAATGCATCACATCTGTTGCTTCTAAAACTGATGAGGCACAATTACAGCAACCAGGGATTGCCAGCATACGCCACGGAGATGGTATCCTGTCATATAAGAATTCACAATAAGTCTTAACTTATGATAAAGAACGTCAATAACACAAAGAGATGGAAAATTGGGTTTGTCAGGTCTTTGTTAGGCTATTTGAATTTCTTTATTGATCTTGATTGTTTTGTTCAAGCTGATTGAAGCAAGGTTTTAAAGATGCGACTGTGGTCAAGTAATTTAAACAAATGTATAACATTTATTATTTTATTAAAGGAACAGCAGTTTACGAAAACATAATGCTTTTCTGGAGCTGTTATTATTATTAATAACAAGTAAGTGAATAGTAATCATTATCAATAATATTTCATGATTAACACTTAATTTGTTGCCTCTCTAGCAATTAATAAGTTTACTATGGTCCATGACTATGTGTAAATGGTAGAGATGGTTGCTGCTTCTTGCTGATTTTTAAATGGTTTAGCTGGTCTCCTGGCCTGGCCTGACAAACCAAACCAGTGCGGTTTAGCAGATTAGCCAAATTAACCAGCTGACTAGTATCCAAAACCCATCTAAAACCTAGACCAGCAAACCAATTTAGGTTGGTTTAAGATGTCTTTTTATTAGGTTACGTTACTCTCTGTGGACCCTGACGGGAAAAAAAATCTTAAATTAGCCTAAGCTGGTTTGCTAGTCTTGTCTCGCAGCTGTTGGTTTTAGATGGGTTTTGGGAACTTGTGAGCTGGTCAACCAGATTAGACTGGTTTAAGAAGTTTTTTTTTTTCAGCAGATAATATGCCAAAAGATACGGACATATTAAAACTTACCAAGTTCTATCTTACTGTTTTTGCATTTAATACTTTTTATTTATACTTAACAGGCCGTCTAATGAACGTCAATACACCTGATTTGCCTTTCTCTCAATAGATCTGGGACCGCATGCACTG